TAATGACTGTGACTGCCATCTGATGCTGACAGTGGTACAATTATTCCTGTGTGTTAATCTGAATGGCCAATAGATCTGGCAATTTCATCAGCACCAAGTCTATTAACAGGTTTGATTGAAATTTCTCAGATCAGATTGAAATTCAGCAAGGCCACAGCACCTCCTGAAGGTCAATCTCTCAGTGTGAATCCAAGGGGCACTATAGATTGGAATACTACTAAATGAGGTCATTTGAACTATATGGAAGCTCAACACAATTCTTGGTGCCACTTCTGTCCAGTTTGTGTCAACATAACCTTGCAGACAGATACGCATACCCAAAAAATGTTTTCAGGGAGCCATCAAATGATATATGTTATTTTTCATCTCTGAATCAAAACACAAGTTTGGCACTCATTTATAAATATGTCACATGCAACAACAGGTAATACAGGGCAGAGATACTGAAGCATAAATAATGAATAAGTGACAAGCTGACAACTAAATATGATATCAGTATGTTATCATCAGGTAGTAAAACCTAGCTTTTGTACCATCCTGTGAGTACAAGTACATTATCACAGCAAAATATTCATAACATTGTGCAATGGAACATATATTTCAAAAGATAAGTAATTGTAAACAAGTATTTAAGATCTTGTGATACAAAATGTACTATTAGTACTATAAAAACTGGTAATACCCTTGGTATCACAATACACAACTATTATTTTAGTATTAACGTAAGAAATGAATTTAAATCACTGAAATACGACATTAAAAGTAAAAATGTCTTTTTGAGGACTTTTCAAACACAACATTTGTTCAAACTGGACACATATTCCTGTGCCACGTCCACTACCACCCTACTGTTCTGGCAAGCTTACAGCCAGGGCTATGCTACTCCCACAGTTATGGGAGGTAACTCTGTCAGTTCCTGTTATATTAAAAGCATAACAGTCTGACAAACCGACAGTCCAAGTACAGTCATCCCTCGCAATAATGCTCTTCGCGATACCGCGGATTCGGATAAACGCGGGGTAATCCGTGTCTCCCATAAAGAAAGTTGCCCAGCGATCACACATCTTTAGGTCATCAAAAATAGCACATCAACAAATCCGCTGTTGATCTCTGGTTAATCACGTTGTAAACTAGTGAAATTCAGTGAGGATTGCAATTAACAGTGTTTATCGTACATATCCATGTTTTTCAGATGCTTAAAACATGCAGGGTTTTCTCAATAATAATCAGACGAACAGCGAAACATTGTAATAACTTATATAAAAGACAACTTCATCATAAAGACATGCCATCAGCCGAGTACTTACAATGTTTGCTGTGATGCAACACAACGCGTTATTGCGCGGGTAAACAGTGCCATCCGAGAACGTATGATGTCAGAAAACACATTTTATTTGATTAAATTCAATCCCATTTTCATTCATTAAAACTGTTTACAGTAACAACAGAGAAACTGTGAGTGAAATGGCATTACCTCATTCCATACAACATCCGCTTACCACATTCGTGAGGGTCCGTTTTTCGCGCCTACTGCGATAGCACCAATTTCACATTTTTCTCAGCAATCACGAACAGATTACAGCCTCATCATCCATTGACCCCAAGACCTGCGTTATTGACTCATTGAAGTCATATTTGACAATTAATTGCCAACATTTTGTTTTTACAATCAAAGTGGCACATACCGCGGGAAGTCAGCGGTGACTTGTCAAACTGTCTCCTACGTAAAATGTATCCAGCCAGGTAACCCAAAGTGATTAGCCTATGTTAATAATTATGTTAAATATGTTCGTAGAAAACATGCATTACACTTATACGATAGCAATATATAATATGTCTGTTAAAATAACTGTTTGAGATATAAATTATTCTGATAATGGAATAGAAATTCTTTGATGTTATATTTTCGGATCGTTTTTAACTGAATCACCGGTACATTGGACCAAAACATCTGTGCACTGCTGATTGCTATTTCCAGCTTAGTTGAATAACAGGTAGCATAACAGGAACAACAATTGAACTATCATGTATTGGGATGTTTGATTGCAAGTTTCCTGTACATACATCTATTTTCATTTGCCAAGGTTGTTTTTTTTCACCTCCAACAATACGATATAGTTTTGACTGGGCACAATACACGAAATAGCAGTTTTGTTATGTCCATGGAAAATACGATTTTACTTTGCCTTTGTTCTGCGTTATGTAATAGTTACTATAAGGCAAGTGTCTAATAACTTGGGGGGTCATCCATGGACCCCAAGACCCGCGTTATGGTGAGGGATGACTGTATCTAAGTATCAATGACATAATCAGTATCAGTGAAACATTCACAACAATTTCAGTCAACCTGTTGCCATGAAATAATATTTATGACAGAATCAGAGTCCACATCATTCTCCTCACTGCCATTCATGTCTGCCACATGATAATCCCCAAATGACCCTCCTTTCATAATCCTGATCTCAACTGTAACATATACTGTCAGTCACCATGGTAACAACAATAGAAACTTCACTGTTTCATATTCTTAGGTTAATTTGTTGTTTTATGCTGACTCAGCAGCATTCTAGTTGGATCTACTCAAGTCTGGATCAGGTAGACTAATGGTCGATATTATGAGCAATGTACCAATCACTGAGGCATGATGTCAAATAAACAACTTGGTCATCAATAGTGGTGTTCCAATTAATTTAAATAATCGAAGATTGGTCGCAGTGACCAAACAACCAAGCAATCAATCACATTTTCTCATAATCAAACACAAACAATTTTGGAACTACTGTTTTAGTGTTTGAAACACTTGATGATGGAACATATCTTAGAAGTTGTCAGGGCCTGAAAACATGTTTAATTCTAAGAAAATTCACTTCTCTTACTGAAAAGTCATAACTCAATATTTCTTGAAGACTCCAGGAAGTTTACATTCATGATATATCAGATGTAGCAAGGTGCATCATTTTACATTCAATGTGAAATTTGCAAATGCGATTGGCACATTTTCTAAATAAAACAAAAAACAACAGACAACCATGTTGTACTTATCTGCATTAACAACCTGAATAGTAAAATCTGAAAAATGATGCTAACCAAGTTTTTTTCGATGATTGCTAATGGTAATGAACCAATCATCAACTGTGAGATTTCAACCAATTCCAATTAAAAATGGACCCATACACCAGAACTTCTGTTGTTTGGTTAAATGTTGCTGAAAATCCATGAATATTTCTGAGATTATAAAACTATCATACATGCCTTTGCAATGGCATTAACAAGTATAGTCATGGCAGGGTGCATGGAATATAAGTCTGTGTCATCAACAATATCATGAAAGTACAACAGCCTGTTGGATGAATGAAACTACATTTGTGGAAGCCTGGTCAGTCTAGTTTTTTTTTCTGGCATGTCGTGTATGAATACTATCCATAGTCAAACAGTGAAACTAATATAGGCAAAATATATTCTTGGCAACATTTGTCATTAGGTGCAATGGCTGAAATTATATAGTTGTAAATTATTGCAATCAAATACATGTTTATGCCAGAAAACATGTCACTGATCAATGCAATGGTTCAGAAACCATTTTACCATAAATATTTGCAGCATGTGTTTTAACAAGTACTTTGTTATTATTTGTCACTTGCATCAAATAAATGCATCCCACAGTTCAAGGTGAAATGTACCTCATATCTGTACACAAGTCCCTAATTAATGAATCATTTTGGACTAATAAAATTAAGTCCCACCTAGTGATTACTTAATTAATTCCCAAATGTCAGGTTGGGTCAAAGGTTTAAGAGTACAGACTGCCGGAGAGATTGGACTATTTGTATGTACTTCATATGTCCATTCTGTGAAGTGTTCACAAGTGATGTGGTCAAGTACTATAGAGCTAACATTCTGATGTAATCGAGAACAATAGTGTTACCGCTGTGGTGTAATCAAACACAACCATAGCTTATTAGGAACACGGCTAATCAGTCCCATTATTCCCTAAAACAAGTGTGTGAGTGTAGAAATCATCTCCAATACTATGATTCTTCAAAATGATTGATTCACTCTGTCACTGGTAATGCATCCATCCCCACCTTTGGAAACAATAATAACAAACCAACAATGACACAAACCAACAATGACTGAGTCATTGATCTTCATGGTGATCATCCTTGAATTTCCAATCTTACCAAGAATAATAGGCCCAATAGTGCATCTCTTAGACACAATATAGGTTTATTTTCACATTCATTTTGTACCTTTGGGCGTACAGAACACACATTTTTGTGTCAGTGTCAGAAGTCAACAGCTGGGTGACTTAAGGCACTTTTGGTAATGATTTACTCACAATTACCCTAAAACTAGTTGCAAGACCTGACTACCAATAAGGTAAACTTGTGCCCAAAATAGCCATCATGTCAGAAAGTGCTCACAAAATAATCATCATCAAATTTTCTTTCTTCACCCATTGTTTCCTTTGATACCCTAATGACATCGCTCATGGTTTTCCTGCTCCCTGACTTGGTCAGTATTTAAAACCAAAATGTAAGAATACATATATCACCCACTGCATACATTTAATGCAAACACTCCACTATAATAATCAGGAAAAGGAAAAATCATTGACCAATTCTTCAGAGCAAGATAAAAAACAATGCAACATCAAAGGAAATATTCAGTGTTTACATGGTGTATTTACAGTTCAATCATTTGTATTGACCTAGTTGTCTATTAGTTTATGTTGTCCAAACAATGCACTCAAAACATTGTCTTTATAGCCAGTTGCGTGTCGGTCAACGACGAAGGCGTGAAGTATGCCACTGATGTCGTGCAGGTGGTTGTCAGAAGTCCAGCTAATTTCGAACCAAAAGAAAATTATCAAACCATCGGAAAATAGCACTGTTTACAATCAAAACCTTTCACGTGCGCATGGGTCTGTTTGCGTGTTCAATTTTCTCCTTTACAAGGAAAACAATTACATCATATTGTTATCAAAACAAATTACCTACCTTGTTTTCGCACCGGCATGTTTCGTTCGGCGTGACCTGTGACAGGCAGTGTTTTCACACTGTCTCTGACCGTTAGCTGGGTCTTGCAGACACTAAGCTTAATTGATCCGTATGATTAACAGGCTTGCTCAATGCACATGAACCTCCCTGTACGAATAAACGGTGTTTCAAAGTACTGTCAACTTGTAAATTACAATGACAAGGTCCAAACTAGGAAATAGGCCGTAATATGGCGGCTGCTGCAAACGAGTTATCACGTGACTAAAATATCAGGGAGTGATTATTTTCGTATATTTATCAACATTTGTAAATCATTTCCAGAAACATATCTCGCATATAGAAAGGAATTATGGTACAACACCAGTCTTTCTGATATTGTGTGGGGTAAAAAGTCTTAGAAGAACAGTATACATTTGGAAATGTGTTTCAATTAGTGTTGTTTCCAAACATCATACTGAGATTGCAAGCATACAACGTTTTCCCGCAATTTCATGTTTACATCTTCAATATTTTTCGTTTGTGTTTGTTTGGTGTCAAAGCTCTTTCTTTTTATTTGAAGATGAAGCTAATTATGATAAAGCCGTGTGGTTGAAATAAATTCTGTTGGCAGCACAGAAAATAATTACTGCAAATTAATTCTGGGTCACTATGACCTAGTTGTCAATGCGCATGTGTTTATGTTCATGAGAACCGATACTTCCTTCCGCTAACAACACGTGAAGATGGGAAAATTCAATGTCAAGTCTTCAACAACCTTGAAATGAAAGAACTGTGGTAAAACACATTTGATATAACCGAGATTCTTGAGGATATGATCATGAGCTCATTTTAGTTATTTATAACGTTGGGTCTAATGGTCGGTTCGATTCGGTCTTTATCAGCATGCAAAATATCTTTACCAGCACTGGGCTAGGGACCGTAGGGTACATTTCTGGGAAAGAGCTCCTTACGTACACACACACCCCACATACCCCCGCCTATTTTTGTGATGACCAAACACTATTGTTTAGTCTATAGTTGATAGTTAAAAATTACGTTTGGGGTACGTAAGGATCTCTTACCTAATGCCGAAAAGAATTCGGTCCGGTAAGAGTTCCTCCCGTTCCCCCATCCCAAATAATATTTATAAATATACTAAAATTATTAACAAAACTTAACACAACAATTACTAGAGAACTCACAAAATGACTAAAAGCCCAAAATTTATGGTTAAGTTAGGGTAGGTTTAGAGTTCGGTTGAGGGTTGGGGAACATACAATCATAACTCACTCACCTCTTTAGTCATAATAAGGCTGAAATACTGTCGAAGTGACTTAAAAATGTAACTCACTCACTATGGTCCAATGTATCCATCATTAAAGACTGGAGATATAGTTATTGTAAGAATTATTTTAGCTATGGTTTTGTTTGTGTAACCCTACATCTACAAATATGCAAGTAAAACAGTTTCAAAGACCACCCGTTCTGGCAGTCAGCTGTACAGGGCTCCAGATAACTTTTGGGGGTGCGAGTGTACTTACACATCATATTGCAAGTGGAGGTGTACTGAGAATTTTGATGGAGTACTGACATATGTTTTTGTGTGAGCGAGTTGGTGATGTGGTTTGTCTGGACGATTCATCGATCACTATTTCCAGGGATACTCTACAACATATAGTCTCCCTGCTATTTCCAACCATGTGTTTTTATTTGAAGACGCGTGAGAAATAACTGAGCGACCGTGGGATGCGCGAAATGTCAGGTCTGACTTGATATAAATAGGAACAGTGTAGTTCTTAGCCAATCGAAAAATAGTGACGCATATCGTTGCATGGCAACGCAAGGGATTCCTACTGTCGGGGTTTCCTCATGTGTCAAATCATGTTTCGCAAAAGAAACTTGACAAGTATTTTTAGCCGAAATAGATTTCCATTTGCACGATACGCACGGAAATTAAATGTTAGATGTACAAAGGTATTTATGTGCGTACACGATACGCTTGAAATCTTATATTATTTATCGTACTTAATTGATTTTGAGGCGTACATTACGCATGTACGGCCCTTATCTCTAGCCCTGGCTGTATCTGACTTTTAATTTGATGAACACACCTATTTTTCACTGTGCCATCAACATTCGCTCAGGGTTTACCAGTATGGAGGGTTTGTCAGTTCTTGAAACAGAGAGGTTTCAAATTATTAGAGTAAAAGAAATAAAGACAGTGTTATTTGTTGTTTCATATTCAGAAAGTTAAAAAAACCCACATGTTTCTTGATTACAATGAATGGATGACGAGTTTGAACAAACTAATTGTGAACAATATTCTATGGTGAAACATGAACACACACCTGTAGTTGTCATGTGAGGTTTATAAAACTTAAACAAAAAATCAAATGTTTTTCAGACATAAGACATTATGGAGCCATTACCTCTGACAGAGGAGGGGAAACCCAAAGAAAGAAGCATCTACAGACTGAAGCATATCGATGACGTTCCTGAAGGGGCGGTCCGGATGACCAAAGATGAAGTCCTCATGCATCACATGAAGATCATCAGAAAATGGGACAAGCCACTAGAAGTGTAAGAGTTATTTCCCTTTGGTATAGACGTTAGATACGTCTGAATACATTGCAATGTCTCTTATGTTGGTGTGGCTTGGTTAATGTGTTTGCCTGTATGATATCATTTGGTTTTGTTCATAATTCTAGAAGTAAAATGTGAAATGTGTTCTAGTGATATTCCTGGATAGAAATTATCCCAAGCAATAGCCATATGTATTGGCAAAAAAACTGTATGGTGAAAGACATGGTACAGGTTGAATAGATGGTTGATTGATGATAAACATGTTGCATGAAGAGTTAACGGTAAAACGATATTGAGATAATTATGTTAACTTCATTTTGGGTTATGCATTACTTAAAATTACTGTTTGATATCAATCTAAGCAGTAGTCACTACTACTAATAATAGCTATTTATAGAGTGCCTGCATCCATGCACTCATGCATGCTCAAGGCGCAAACACATTATTACCCTGGTTAGCCCAAGCTGCCAGTAAGGTGCTAGGAGATTAACAGTCATATGACATATCCCATCAGGTATCCATTCACTGCTGGCAGAACAGAGGCAATGTTTTAGCAAACTTTCTTGTGTAAGGTTAGAATTAACCTGAGATAATGTTGACTATCCTAAATAATGAAGTACAAGGACATTCTGTGCCCCTCTGCCAATAAATCCTGAAATTTTATTATCATATAGGATACATAAAACAAATTGACTTGCAGATAGTGTGTATTTCCATCGCCGTTATTCTTTGTTTAGTGTTGGACATACTTGTTGTGATTCCAGATGGCCACTGCGACACGGCACCGCTTTAGCCAGCGCCACCGCAGCAGCAGGAGGATGGATCATCAACGCCCACTACAGACAGAAGTTCCAGTTGCGGAACTTCGGTAGAATGGCCAGTTATATCCCTGCCGTCTGCCTTCCAGCCATGATGACAGCGTTTTTCCATCAGTTTTATATTCAAAACAATATTCTTGTCGGCAATTACGACTGCACTGTTTGCATGGAGACAAGATCAGGGGCAGTTAACTCTATGTTAGGCGGACTTTATCCCTTGCTTCTCGCCCCTGTTTCCTGTATCATCCTGGCGAGGAAATACTACACGGTCCCCGTCCCGAAGATCACGGAGCCCACTTTGATACTGAACCTGGTGAGGAGGACGTCACCAATGGTGGGCGGGCTGTTTCTACTTGTGGCTGGACAGTTTGCATTTGGGATGCTTTTAGCGGAGAGAGAAATAACAAAGTTTCAAAATGTTCTCGTGAAGACGTCGGGTAATTTACGTGATGATGAGGATAAGTATGATTAGATGAGTGTGAGAGTGATTGCAATAAACAGGTTTTACAAAGTCATCTTGGTTGTATGTTTACTAATACTTTTAAGGCTGGGTGTAAGATAAGTTTGAATAAAGGGTTGTTGGAAAGGTAGGTGGCAACATCACTTCAAAAACACCACTTTGCCCTATCTGCTGACTTTTCAGGAGTATGATGTGGTCAAATCTGAGAATCCAAAACGCAATCACTGGATCCTGGTGTGATTGAGGGACACAACTCAGCGCTAGGAGTTGCAGGTATTAAAACGACTGATGATATAGTTTATAAAAGAGCTTTCTCCTTTAATGTAGGGGACGGTGGGGTAGCCTAGTGGTTAAAGGGTTGGCTCGTCATGCCGAAGACCTGGGTTCGATTCCCCACATGGGCACAATGTGTTAAGCCCATTTCTGGTGTCCCCCGCCGTGATATTGCTGGAATATTGCTAAAAGCAGCGTAAAACTAAACTCAGTCAGTCAGTCAGCCTTTAATGTAGCAGTTGACTGCAGTTGACTCTTGCATAGAGGAATTTTGTTGGTGTTTTAGGATTAGCCTTTGAATGGTTTAGTCAGCGTTCAAAATTAATGTCAGTCCTTAGGCCCGAAGCCGACCGAAAACCACCCAGGCCCACAGCTTTTGTTTTCTGCAGGTCCTCATGGCCGACAACTTTTTCATCTCCAATAAATAAGAGTATTATTTCCATATTAAAATATGGGCCTACACATTCTGATCAGGACCCACAACTTTTTATGGTTCATAGGGTGTGCAGCTTTTCAGGGTTAAGGGCAAACACTGGGTTTACTTGTCCAAGGGAGACAATTCAGTCAAGCTTATCTGTGAATAGTCACTGATACTTACTGTTTTGTGGTAGGAAATAGAGAATACTACACAAGGTCTCAATACATACAAATTATACCAAACAAGTGTCCTTCCTATGGTATCTGACCGAGAGAAAGAGATACCATAGCAAGGGCATATAATTCGTATATGTAATGAGAATGTGGTATTTTATTCATTACCCACGTCTTACCTGCATAAAATTGACAAAATAAACAGGTTTTACAAAGTCATCTTGGTTGGATGTTTTTGAGTTTATTAGTACTTTTAAGGCTTTGAGCAAGAGAGGTTTGAGTGATGGCTTGTTGGCAAGGTAGATGACAACATCACTTCAAAACAGTTTCGGGATGACAAGGATAATAATAATAATAATAATAATGCACATTTATAATGCGCCTTTTCCACGCCCTTGGGTATGCTCAAAGCGCTACAAAGATGAAGATGGGTGAAGTTATGAAGTATACTGAGAAAAGGTGGGTTTTCAGTTTTGCTTTATAAAACTGTCAGAGTCTTTGAGAGCTTTCTCTTGTTTAATATCAAGCAGTTGCTGTGCAGAGACTCTGCGGTGAGGAATTTTCAGTTGGAGTTATCACAAGAAGATTCTGAGAGTTTGGAGCGTTTAGACTCAGGCAGGTACATATGGATTGAAGCAGGTCAGTAGGAAGGGGCCAATCCATGGAGGCATTTGTATGCGTCAGGAGAGAATTTTGAAATCGATTCTTGCCTTGACTGGAAGCCTGTGGAGTTCTTTAAGGACAGGAGTCCTTTAGAAGTTCTACTGATAATGCGGGCAGCTTTCTGCAGTTTATCAATCAAATATGCCAGAAAGAACACTGTTCCAATATTAAACCTGGATGTTACTAGAAGGAGGGAACAAGGGCTGAGTTGCTGCAGACTGGCTGGCGAATGTTGCTGATCGACCTGAGATGGAAGACAACATGTTTTGCTCACTTGGTTAACATGGGCATTGAGCGCCAAAGAAGAATCAATGTGATCAGGATTCCTCACAACATCTGATGGATGGGATATCCATCTGCAACTTTTCAGGGTGACAGCATCCACCTGGCTTAGTTGTTGTCTTGTGCCCACAAGCTTGAGCTTGTTTGTAGTCATCCATGACTTTATGTCCAAGTGTACGACGATGCGTCAAGTCACTCATTCAACTCTGATGGGTGAAACGATTCCAGAAGCTGTCACTGCATAAACATGGTGTTTATCATGATCAGGACAATGTATCCAACATGCCCTGTGGAACACAAACAGGGACCAAGAACATCCTACATCCACGGAGACATACGCAGTTGGAAGCGTCCTTCCTATGGTATCGATGACCGACCTGTCAGGTAGAGGAAACCCACTGAGGACAAGGTCATCATCCATAATGATGCTGTAATCTAGTCAGGGTATTTTAGGGTGGTACCCACGTCTTACCTGCATAAAATTGACAAAACCAAGCTGAAATCTTACCCTCGTCATCTTGGTTTGAAGTTTTTGAGTTTATTAAGCAGTGCTTCTCTAACTGTAGTTTGAGCAACTGGAATGAATCAAGGAGATGATGATGATGTTCTGTTGAGACAGGAGTAGACTGCTTTCTCAATGATTTTGGATATGAAAGACAAGTTTGAGACAGGCCGAAACAAGGATGTAATACACTGGATAACCAAGAATCCTGCAGACTTAGGCAAACTGTTTGGGAGATTTCAGGCAGCAAACAGGAGAGCAAACAATTTCATAAATTGTCTTCTGTCTTTTCTGTCATAAAAGGGAGCCTGATATTTCACATTTTATTCTTTTTCATATAGACATTATGATTATGATTTTGTTCAGATTTAAAATTGATAAGTGAAATACTTATATATGTTTAAATATATTTAGGTTTTGGCCCTCAGTCCTGGTGTGTGTCCACTTCACTTTGGGTATCTTTATGGTTTAATAGGGATATTTTTATAAAAAGAATTGCATGTTGCAGACACTATTATTTCTTCTTAATCCATGGTAAGGTTGTATCTTCACTGACTAGGGATAAGGTGAGTGAGTGAGTGAGTTTAGTTTTACGCCGCACTCAGCAATATTCCAGCTATATGGCGGCGGTCTGTAAATAATCGAGTCTGGACCAGACAATCCAGTGATCAACAGCATGAGCATCGATCTGCGCAATTGGGAACCGATGACATGTGTCAACCAAGTCAGCGAAACTGACCACCCAATCCCGTTAGTCGCCTCTTACGACAAGATAGTCGCCTTTTTATGGCAAGCACATGGGTTGCTGAAGACCTATTCTACCCCGGATCTTCACGGGTCCTAGGGATAAGGAGTTGTAGAGGAAGTGTTACCTGTTTTACCTGTATTTGGCTTAAAGTCAAGTCTCACATTTCTCCCTGTAAGGTAAGGTCAATTGTCACCTGTCAACATGGTCAACCTGGAATGGCGGCCGACTGGAATAAACAATTTTTCATGCTGACTCTTCACATTACAGCCGAATAAACACATTTGAAAGGTACTCTCTCTTGGTAATACATTTCTGAGACAGGAAGAAGCCAGAATCTAGAGATGTCTGCACCAATGGGAAGACTTGTTCATATCCTGATTTGATAATGATTGAAAGTTTGATTGTAACAAATAAACCCATTTAAATTGAAAAGGAGCCCCAGGGAGACCAGCGGCGGTATTCATAAAGCTTCTATACTTTCGTTTCCATGAGCCGCCATATCGGATAACTAAGAATTTTCTTAACTACTAAGGTGTCCTCATGAGGTTTCTTAAAGTTAAGAAGTAAAGTAAGAACAAAATGACTTGTCTAAGTTTTTTTCTTACAAGTTAAGAACGTTGTTATGGAAACTAAGAATTCTTAGTGGATTTAAGAATTCTTAACACTTAAGAAAATTCTTAGAAGCTTTATGAATACCACCCCAGAGATTCAGAGTTCCTGAACCTGGAGAAATCTAGACTTGCTTCATATTTGGCTTTAGTATTGCAGGGAGGTCTAGGCTGAAGGGAAAATAATATGGTTCAGGGACTGTGAGACAGATTACTAGATCATCTGTGAGCCACAGAGGTAAATGGCATGATGTGTCATCATTAACAATGGATGGTATGATATATTATTATGCAAGCATATTTTTCCGGCTACCTGATTGGTCTAGAGGTGGTCACGTGACCGTCGACAGAAAAGCATGTTGAATCCAACCCTCACTCCGGCGCAGCGATGACTTACCATAACATCACTGCCACAGGCTAATTTGCATATCACCTGCCCGCACTTTTTCTCTTGTTTGTAAACAAACGCGCATATTCATAATAAGAAGAGACTGGCCTTACGCAAGCTTTTCGGCCCGCTCTTAATAATGTTTTACATTGTTACATATATATTCTTCCACAACTGCGACAGTAAGGTTTATGACAATACATATTTAGATATCCAACTGGCTGCATCGTTTGCTCTCCGTCGGCTTCGATGACAGCACGTGAAGCCGTACAACCTATGTAAACAAAGGATCGCTACGCAAATAGAAATAGTGTTACATGCTTTAGGGTATTTTCCCAATGAAACTAAACCTTTCTATCAAAGATGTTTAATTAGATGTGTAGACTCGTCAAAAATAAAAGAGTTAAGAAATATGTACATTATACTGGATGGACATTGCAAGATGTGACGAATCGTCACATTTTTCTGGCCTGTGGCAGAGGTACTATGCTGGCTTGCCGCATTGAACTCTGGGTAGGAGAGTGAGGTACTATGCTGGCTGGCCGCATGGAGCTCTGGGTACGAGAGTGACTCCAACCCAGGTCCGACCAAAAGTCATATTGACCTGAGTTACTATGACGTCAAGCTATGACGTCATTTTATTGTTTACATGTCACAGTATTGTTGACATAACGTTATTGGTTTGTGGTGAAAATAAAATCACTTTTCTTGACTAAACGGACATGTTTTTGATTTTAGAAGCTATTTATCGGTAATTACATAATAAAACAATTATGGGCTGGCGAATTCGGTCAATACCTGTTTTTATGGACCCGCGAAAAGCAATATTGACCTCGGACTTCGTCCTAGAAACTATTATTGTATAGTATTGTCTTGAAGCATGACGTCATATCACTAAAACTGACCAATCAGTTTTGAGAATCGCTAAAATGATACGATGCATATCTATAAGAATAGAATAGAATAATACTTTAATGCCTTTTCAGGAATTTGTGTTACATCAGCAGAGCTACTGACACATTAGAGAGATACCAAACATATTTACATAAATTCTTTGATTTAGGTATCTTCACATTTTTTAAGAGAGATATGGTACTTGGAATAAAGGATGTACGGGCTCTCTTAGTTTTCACAATTGGAACTTTGTAGCGGCGGTCTGAAGGGAGGAGGTTGTATTCCGAATTTAAGTGAGTGATGTTGACAGCTTGATTCACGATTTGCCGCTCATATATTGATGATAAACATTCCAATCTGACTCCAGCGATTTTACTTGTCTTAACATTTTGTCTATTTTAGATTTGAGGTGAACTGAAGAGACCCGTACCAACAATGGTGTCCTCTGAATAAATGCTACATAAAAAGATGACATCACAGATGGGTTAACATCAAAGATCTCAGTTTACGCATGAGATGAAGACGTTGTTGAAATTAGTGTTAGAGTTCCAGTTCAGCTTAGAGTCAATGAAGGTTCCCAGATACTTATACTCTGACACTGTCTCAACACATTCACCGTTGATTATCACTGGAAGCATTTCTGTGGGTTTACTCCGAAAGTCAATTATCAGTTCCTTTGTTTTTGTGACAATAACGAGTAAGTGGTTTTCTGCACACCAAGTCGCAAAATGATTAATGTCCTCTTTATACAGTTCTTCAGAATCAGTTTGCCGACAATTGCTGCATCATCTGCGAACTTTACAGTTGAACAGGTTGAATTCGAGCTTGCACAATCATTAGTGTAGAGGGTGAAAAGAACAGGAGATATTACACAGCCTCAGAGCCTTGTGCTGCACCAGTGTTGGTGGTCCGTTTACTCGATACGGCCCCGTCAACTTTCACGTACTGCTGTCTGTCCACAATTTTCGATCCACTTGATGAGGTATGAGTTAACGCCCATGTCTAACAGTTTCTGTATGCTGATATGTGGCTGGATAGTGTTGAACGCAGATGAAAAGTCAACGAAGAGGATCCTGATGTATGACTTAGGTGTCTCTAGATATTTATAGACATTATTAAGGAGTGACAGTATGGCATCAACAACTCTCCTTGACCTGTAGGCGAACTGAAGCGGGTCCAGTATGTCGGCAACTTCCTGACGGAGATGTCTCAACAAGATGCGCGTTCCAGCGACTTCATTGCTATAGATGTGAGAGCAACTGGCCTGTAGTCGTTGAGTTCTTTAGGTTGTGTCTTTTTAGGAACTGGTACAATTTCTGATGTTTTCCAGACCGAAGGAATAACGTGTGTATTCACTGAGAATTGAAACAATCTAGTGAAACCTGTACACAGTTGAAGTCGATACGTATTTACTCCTATTATGGGAATGGTATCCATGATCTAAAAGAAATCCATATGTTTTCAGTGTGTTTTGTGAATATGGAAGGTACAGTAAAACAATAAACATTTGCTCCTAAATAATTGTAATTGCCGCTTACTGTCGCGGGGATGACATGATCACGTGACGTGAGCAACCATATCGTCATCAACGGGATTGTACGGATTTTCCCGAGTTGTACCGGAAGTCAGCAACAGAACAAAATGGCGATCACCACAGGGTGGTCGTTTGCTGCGTTAGCTGCTTGTTTTCTGCTATTTACGTATAAAGATTTGACGCAGTCGCAAGAAGTTAACATAAATGCTCACAAGGACATCAAGGCCCCCAAACTTGCACAGTTTGCGGGTCCCACCATAAAATTTATGTTCTGGTATGTTCATTTTGTAGACAATAACGTGCAAGTCATATGGCTTCACTTCGTGATAAGAATAACGTTTTGCGCATTAGTAGATTACTATTTAGACGATTTTGATCATTTTATAAATTTACCCTAAATATGGTAGATATGCCCAAAATATCATTTGTTATGTCCAACGTAACTACGAAAGTCTCAAGAAAGATGCGTTTATAGGATTTGTTACCATTGTGTCGTTTAAGAAAACGTACAGTTTGGCCTATATCTGTATCAAAATTACGTACGCAATATGCATATTTTGTTGTTTCCGTGTATTCTTATAACTTATTGTCGTTAGAGTTAGGTTGGTCAACTAAGTTGTCTCAACACGATCCTTTGTCCCCAGGATCGTTGAGCACAGAGGCGAAAACATTCTGATTTCACGAGACTGCTAAAAATAAAATACAAGAATGTATGGGGATGCCCCTTTTGTGCTTATTCAAGATTTATTGAAGTAATATGTTTTTGTCAATTTTTGCAAATGTATAATCAAGTCGTCCATGTTCGGTCATATTCAAGAAACAACAAAGACGTCTACAAACCATACATTCTTATATTTTCTTACTGTTGCAGTATATGATATTGGTACGACATTTTACTAGAAGCCATAAAATAAGCTTTAGAGTTTAGGATTAGGCCTTGCAAAAATGAAATTTAGTGGGGGGGGATATAGGCGGAAGTCTTTCCATGATATTCTCATTAGTTGATAGCTTATGTTAATACTACATATTCCTTTGTTATTAATGTATAAACTTTGTTTTTCAGTTATTCCTGAGGGTACCGGAAAGTGTTTGATCAGTATGCTCAAGCACTTCATGACCGCTTCCCTAGCCTGACGGTTGTTGGCGACAATTACCCTCCGCCACCTGTCAAGGCTATGCTTGCTCAGTTCTTATCTGTCTTTAAACTTGTTCTCATTGGTCTTGTTGTCTCTGGGTACAATCCCTTCCCTCTCCTCAACATTGAAACTCCTGCCGCCTTCAGATGGGCAACAGAAAATAAGGTGAGATTGTAGGTAATAAATCCTGTCATGGCAAGAGGGATTGTGGTTGACAATATGTTTATCTGAGGATTAAACATTCACCTTGTTTGAGGGCTGTGGGGTAGCGTTTGATTGTCACACCAAAAGCCAGGGTTCAGTTCCCCACAGGGGACATTGTGTGAAGCCCATTTTGGGATCATGCTGGAATATTGTTAAAAGCAGCATAAAACCCAACTCACTCACTTACCTGAAGTATGAAACAATATACACGTTGGTGTCATGTTTTACAAATTCATTGACAGAAACCTGTGGTGGTAACAAGTATTACTCATCAGTCATGATTGATCATTTAGCTGACAGGTCATGATTAAATAATGGTCATGATGATGTTTCAAATAGATGCTTAGGAATAGATTGCTGCAGACTGTCATTTTCCAGTCCTGCAAATATGCCTTACGTCGGAAAGCGCACATAAAATCTCCAAATCATCACTTCTTGCCAGTCTAAACACTGATCATGTCCATAGTTTGAATGTGCATTTCTTCATCTCATTCAGTATGATGGATTGAAGCAAGGATGTTCTTGAATGAGCATGTTATCAAACTATCTGACTTGTCCTAATGTAGGGTAGTCTGTCTCACACTTTCACAGTCCCTGAACCACGTTAGTGTCACTACTGCTTAGACCTCCCTACAGTGCTAAAGTCCTCCCTACAATGCTAAAGACCTCCCTACAATGCTAAAGTCCTCCCTACAATGCTAAAGACCTCCCCTAAAGACCTCCCTACAATGCTAAAGTCCTCCCTACAAAGCTAAAGTCCTCCCTACAGTGCTAAAGACCTCCCTACAATGCTAAAGTCCTCCCTACAATGCTAAAGTCCTCCCTACAGTGCTAAAGTCCTCCCTACAATGCTAAAGTCCTCCCTACAATGCTAAAGTCCTCCCTACAGTGCTAAAGTCCTCCCTACAATGCTAAAGTCCTCCCTACAGTGCTAAAAGCCCTCCCTACAGTGCTACAATGCTAAAGACCTCCCTACAATGCTAAAGACCTCCCTACAAGTCCTCCCTACAATGCTAAAGTCCTCCCTACAGTCCTCCTACAATACAGTGCTCCCTACAGTTCTAAAGTCCCCTCCCTACAATGCTAAAGTCCTCCCTACAATGCTAAAGTCCTCCCTACAATGCTAACGCACTAAATGAAGCAAGTTTAGATTTCCTCAGTTTCCGGAATCTCCCACCTCACCGGGGCTCCTTTTCAATTAAATGGGTTTATTTGTTACTATCAAAATTATATATATTCAGCAACTAAGCGTTTGTCTAAATGTAGGGCAACTCACTAAGTTACAGAAAAAAGTGGCCATATGATCAGAAACTGAAGTTCTGTACTTTGTTAAGCTAGGCAATTCCAGGGTTTCCCCAGGAAGGAGGAAGTAGTCCGTTAGTGTGTATGCCATTCCAGGAATACAGTCTCTTGGGAAAAGTGTGGACATCAAATTATGTCATTCATACACTTTTGAACATCAGTCTCACAGTTAAGTGACCCAACCCGACCAGTAGAAAATCTGTAAATTGTGAAAATTCAGATTAAAAATTATTGTCAGTACCCATCATTTCAGGTTTACTTCTCCCCACTTATTAATCCATCCATTCTTCTGATCATGTTGGCAAACAGTATACCTGAAACATTGCATATGAATAATATAGAAACTGTTTTCCTTCATACTCCTTGTTAAATTTTTGTCATACTAAATGCTTACAGCTACTCATTATTCTTGTTTAGTGTTCAGCCTCATTATTTTAAGTTCTAGGTTTCAGTCTCAGGTTATTTTTTTGAGAATATTCAATATCGTTTGACTTTGGGCAATACCAATATGGTTTGCAGTGACAAAACATATCATTCACGAGGCTGTGGCAGTCTTGACATAGTCATGAATATATAAGTAAGGACATGGAAAATATATAATGTAGCAGGGTTTAACACAGCTCTTCAAAACTGGGAGTCCTGGGGACTCAGGGCATAATTTTCTGGGAGTCCATTTTCATTTTGATTCAGAAAGAATTATATTGCGTCCATAAGGATACACAGGATTTTAGTTTGGGGGTACTTCATCAAATGTCTGCATCCAGTACGCCGGAATCAAGCGACCCGTAAAACCCTGATGTAGGTTAGAACTTTGGTACATGGCAGCAAGCTATGCCTTCAGTGTATTACATTCATGTGTAATCAGCTGGTAATGTCCTACTTACACATGGATCATGACCACATGGTATCATGCTCATTTCTCTGTACAGACTTACATGGCTGCTGGTCATGCTATGTCAGTTGCTATGGTGATTCAGCCTTAGTCTGACTTTCTGTCAGTTTGCTTAGCAAACAGTTGTAACAGAGTATTATAATACACAGCACTGGTTTATTGTTCACACACATTTCAATCTAGTGTTTGTGTGACTTGATAGAAATATGGAAATGTAGAAATGATTATTTTCATCAATCAATGATTCTATGAATATTTTTTTTCTTCAATATTTACATTATTGTAAATATGTTCATTGTTATTGTTACAAATAATCCAGGTCAGTTTAATCTGTGTTAAGAGTATCCCAACAGCCAGCAGAATTTCATGCCATTTTGGGGATGTCCACATGTAGATCTATTGCTATAGATCATAGAGATTGTTCATTGCAAACTAAATATCAGTTGATGTTTAATAAATATTTCATCACAATTGTGTATGTATGGTATTATTGCTGACTCAATTTTCATATGGGTAATCATTAATTTGTTCCCATCGACTGTATTTCTGATTATCTTATGTTTTTAGCAAGCCCTATCCACATGTTTTATCACTGTTCAGACTAGTCAACATGGTAAATGTGCATCCTTGACAAGTTTGATTGGGGTGCCTGGGGGTGGGGGTATTGCCGCACCTGTAAATGTTGCTCCTGTTCGGTTGCAGATATATGCCTGCCTCATGGTGTTTTTCATCAGCAATGCTCTAGAAGGACAACTCATTTCTACAGGGGCTTTTGAAGTTTCTTTCAATGGTGAGTTCATATTTAATGTTTATTTCAATCCCTTGCAATACTAATGGATGTTATCTGCTGGTATAGATGTTATCTGTTTGTGATAGATATATGGCTTATCATTATAATGCCTTATTATGTATGGTATACCTGTATACTTTAATGGTGATATACTAGTCTTAAGGGCATCAATTTTTTTATGTGTTTCATGTAGCCACCAAATTCTGAATGTGGGTCGGTCGGTCAGTCGTGGGAAAAAAAATTAATAAATACAAAATCACTCACTCGCTCACATTGTTCAATGTAACACCTTGATAATGTTTTTTCCGTTGTTGGTGCAGATGTGCCTGTCTGGTCGAAACTGGAGACAGGACGTATACCCTCCCCATCCGAGATGTTTCAAATGATTGATAATCACATGAGGTTGAGCAATAAGCAACAAGTACAGTAAGCCTGTGCCTTGTCTCACACGTCCGGTATTTGCCAGGTAAGTGCAGAGTTTCTCCATTGTCTGCTTCAGAAAACCTTTGTCTGTCTGTGTGTTTGGTGTTTAACGTCACAGTGAGCAATGTTCCTGCTATATGGTGGCAATTGGTAAATAATTGAGCCTGGTCCAGACAATACAGTGATCAACAGCATGAGCATTGATCTATGCAACTGGTATATGATGACATGTAGTCTGACAATCCGATTCCATCAGTCGCCTCTTACAATAAGCATTGGTGCTGAAGATAAATTCTAACTGGATCTTCAGGGGTACAAAAACCCTTGGATTGATATTTAGTATATTTTGGTGTATCATTAGGTATTTTATTAGCTGAATAAAGATGTAGTAGACATGCTTTTATACCCTTGGATTATGGCTGCAGTTAATGACTGTCTTGTTCTCAGCCAGTGATGGAATATGGTGATATGTTGTATGAATTCAAAGGTGGATTTGTAGGAGAATTACAGCTGCAGTCACTCCTTGTCTGTGTTTCAGGTGAGCCCACTTTGACTGTTGGCAAGTTGGGGCGCTGCTGTCCTGAGCTTATGAAGGTTCAAGTTTAAGCAACCACTGCTGGCTTGGACTGGATCCCCTATCAGAATACAGCAGCCATCCAATTTCCTGCAGTTACTGTCTCTCAACTGACAAGAATCGCACCTGTTGTTACAAGGCTTGTTCCAGTCAATTAGTTCGATAGAAATCCACTCATGGTTAGAAATCAAGAGTAGAAAATTTGTTAAAGACGTAAATGTTTTCTGTAATAATTTATAGTGAATTATGCAATGATACAAGTATTCTTGTTGTACAAAAAGAACTTATTATGATGTAATGGACGTGTTTGTTGAGTGCTAGCTTGTATAAATGGCAGACCACTATCTCGTCAACACTGTTACTGTACTAATAGCTATCATGTTTGGTACGGCTGTAATGTACTTCTATTTCTGTGGTAAATTGACCGAATCATGCATCATTTTACGTACAAGACAACAGAGTGAGTGGTAGGTTGAAGGATTAACTCCATGCTGATTTTTAATCTGTTAATCTTTTTCTTTGAAAAATACTAGTAATTTGACAATAAATATTATGGTGTCAGATGAGCCGATTTGCTGATCGTGAGTTAAATTCATCATTTATCCTTTCAACGGTTGTTTGTTTACCATCACTTTAGCCATTGTCCTTGCTTGGTTTCTACAGTGTGATGAATGACCTGTTTCAATTTCGTCATATGACAGAGTTAGGAGAAGTACGTCATCAAACTCACTCATTCACCTTCATGTCACTTACAGTCACTGTCAGTTTACCTATTTGGGGCAATAATGTATTCAAAGAACTCTTTTTGCTTACATGAATAATTAAGTTAAATTGATCCTATTACGGAATGTTTTTATGAATATGTCCATATTATGTCAACCTTAATTTAAGAATCCTAAAAAATGTTTGAAGGATAAAAGCTGAGAAATTGTATTCAGTTCACGATCATATTTGAATGTTTTAGTACAAAGCATGCTGGCGTGGGGTAATTGTTGTATACATACTATTCAGATTTTGCCTATATTACACAAGTGTATTACCTGGATAGTTTATAAGACAGAACACACTGATATTGGGTGTCTATTTCTATTTCTTCTTTCCAAATGGTCACCTTGAGATTCTTTAACTGCTCTTTCCATCTGATGTGCAAAGAAATCAAAGTTTGTATTTTTGTGTAGATCTGTTTGTAAGAGGACTGACATTTATAGAGATATTGGTACAATATACAGAAATACATTTTTATGCATGTTATGTGTTTGTGATGTTGAATACTAGGTTGATTTACAACTGTCTATCACAGGTTCAATGTTCTTGATTCCATCCCTGTTTTATGAACAAACTTACTATTGTCATTGTCTGCTTTCATCATGGCCTTAGGACTCATGGGTAATTTCAGTGAGATTACTGTTAATTCTGATGTCTGTCTATTAGGTGCATAAATTGCTAGACAATATGTTCAGACATGAAGATGCACAGCTGTGGTGATTCCTGGTCTCCTGAGGAGTTGGGGTAGCCTGGTGGTTAAAGTGTTAGCGTACCACGCCAAACACCCAGGTTTGATTTCCGGCTGGCGAGTACAGTGTGCAAAGCCCATTTCTGGTGTCTCCCACTGTGGTATATTGCTAACAGTGACGTAAAACTAACCTCACACCTGGCCTCCCTTGCTTCTCTGGTTTATCGAGCACAGATGTGATACAGCTGCAGTTGGACAGTTGTGATACAGCTGCAGTATTGCCAGGCGTTACTTCATGAACATTTGCTCAAACCTCTTTGAGGTTGGTGGTGAGGCCTGGAGGTTAAAGCTCTTGCTCGATACTGAAGGTCTGGGTTCGATTCCTCACATGGTGCAATGTGTGGAGTCAATGTCCCTGTCTTGACATAGCTGGAATGTTGCTAAAAGGTGTGTAATTAGGAAATATGCACTCGCTGAAAAAAAGTGCTTTACGTACTTGAATTAATTTCTTGCTTATCTCATTGGCAATTGGTTGACCTATTGACCTCATTGTTGGAGCAACATTGGTAATCCAGGGTATAATCTTAATTTTGACCTATTTGCGGACTGTGGCAGGAATTGGTGTAATTCCTCAGTATAATAATTCTCCCAGTGAAGTTAGGCTTTCCCAGATATATTTGATTTCCAGACATATTTCCATTTTTAGTCTTGAAAGAACAGTGAAACTAAATGGGACATTTTTAGTGTTATTACATTCAAACCATGCTTAACACTGTAGGATGGTGAGTTTATTGATGTATTTTTGTAATAGAATGAGGATATAAACCCTGGATGATCATGGATGCAGCAGTAGGTCATGGATGTTAGACTGCAGCAAAGTGAACCAGAATGTTCAGTAGTACCACAACTAAACAACAAGCCTCTGGTAGTAGAGCCTCTCGGGTAGAGAGTGTTTTCTATCCAAGTCTGAGGACTCTGGACATTCATTGTTTATTTGTAAATCATCATTCCATGCTTTTGTTGTTGGGGTTGTATAACCTGGATATCCTGATGTACTATTTCATTTATCCCCTCTTCGTGAAATATGTGTAAATAAAATCATGTGACTACAGCGTTATCAACTTGTCTGTTTTAATATGACCTGTTTTATATACTGTGGTTGTCCTGCCCTGTGTAGTCTGTGCCTTGGACTATGCCCAACTAAGCATTAGTGTTGGGAATTGGTTAAAATCTCAAAATTGATTCACTCAAAAGTGAAAAATATTGTTGATGAAGACAAGTGTTCCAGAATTGTTTGTGTTCAATTATGAGAAAACATGATCGACTGCTTGGTCGTTTAGTCACTGCGACCAATCTTCGATTATTTCAATTAATCAGATCACCACTACTAAGCATGCATCCCATGTGAGACTTGAATACTAAAAGACTGTCGGAAATAGAAAAAAATGGGGTTTTTTTCACATTTATATCTACAATTTATGAAGTTAATATGTGAAAGTGTGAAATATCTGTTTAACTAAGTTCGGTCTAACTACAGTCTCAGTGGTAGGGAGATAGGAAACGTAAAAAAAGGACAACTGAGGAGAGATTAGTGCAGAAATGAGTAATGCGTTTTTCAAAGTCCAAAGTGACTTAATTTTTCCTTATCCTGACTCATGCTCTTTTGCTTGTCTTCTTCTTCTTGCGAACATAGTGGAACACTTGTATCTCTTTATTTGAAGCTCCCTTCAAAATAAAATCACTAATTGGTACTCACCACGAGTTGCTCCCCTTTGTCTCCCCTGGCGGGAAAAGGTGTCGCCACCCTCTGGCCATGTGCTCCACTCTCTCCTTCTTCGCCCAGTGAGCAGGATGTGAGAGCGCCTTGTGTCTCCTTACACACATATCCTTTGATAATCTCTTAGTTTTTACCTCTCATAGGTTACTATAGAGGTATAGCTAGTATCCCTTTATTATTTGTATTGATTAATTATCGATTTTCTACTGTTTATTCACGGTATTCGTGATTGTTCAGCTAGCTTTTACGCTCATGAAAATCTGGTACGATTTGTAGATTACGCTTTTCTGCCCCGATCCACATGTAATATGCCCTAGTTGTTCTACTGTCGCGTTTAATTCACGCAGTTACGGCATTAATTTATCTCATTCTGCATTTAATAAATATCATCTTTATGCCTTTAAGACGCATGCAGATAGATCACGCAAAACAAGGGCAAAACATGGCAGAGAGTCCAGATATTCCTTCCAGTCAGCTGCTTAGCGATCGACCCTCTCCCCGCCTGGTGTTCTGCTAGAGACCCCTGCGGCAGGAACGTGGGACGCAGTCCGTTACTCAAGAAACGACCGCCTCCCAGACATCCCGGCCATTGCAGACTAAGTCTAAGAGAGCCTCATCGCCGCCTCAACGCGAGATTGAGGACACTTCCAGGGCAGCGCCAGACTTCCAAAGGGAAATCTACGAAGACAGCAAAGAACTTTCAGCCGAGATCGCTCCAGCAGCAGAGTTGGGCCTCTACGATGATCAGCCGATAATCATCCCCACTTTACGGCAGAAGAAGCGACCGGTGTCAGCGACTGTGACTTCTGCAGAGATCTCCATGCAGCCTGATGCCTCTACACCGGACGCTCAGACGCCATTGATGTGAACCCCATCGCAGAAAAGACGCCGCCGACTTCGCCACAGATCATCCCAGAAGACATGATGCGGCAGATTATGAACATCATGGAGGACCACTCACAACCTGCGCCAAGCAGGGTCCGGCGCGCGCATGAAGGCTCCAACGTAGACAGCACCCCAGAGGCACCCCGTCAACGAGCAGCCAAGACGATGTCACCTTTCGCGAAGGAAGTCCGCACCACCTTGACGAAGGACCTAGATGTACAGCTTTTCGCGCCTTCGCCGAAGGCGGAGAGATCATCACCATCTTCGATTTCATCTCTAGATATGGACTCAGACCATCAGACATCACGGAAGCCTTCGCGAAGGTCATATCATCGATCCCTCCGACCGGACGCCAAATGAAGCTTTCGGCGAGGCATTCGCTAAGGACATATGATTCCAGATCTTCATCATCTAGAAGAACATCGAGGACTGCCGAAGAGCTTCATGGCTATCAACATTCACCTCACAAGTCTCCAGAAGATCATCCCATAGACGATTCCACTCCGCTTCATCACCAGGTCGATCACCCATCAGATCTCCACATAGAGCGCTACAAGTCAACTAGATCGCCACAAACCTCATCAGATATACAGACAGCTACACGCAGTCCCGAAAAGAGCATCTACAATTTATTAATGATGATGGTTTTGAGGATGATGGAGGAATCATATTTTCTGATGCAGATACGGTATTGGATGGTCAATAACCTAGATCTCACATCACCATCTAAAAGTGGCAATACAGCTCAGACGTATTTGATGAAGGAAGATGATCCAGATGCAATCACTCTACCCCCGATCGACCCGATTGAGCGGCAGTGCCACAGAATCTAGATGCAGCTTTCCAGAAAGCTACGAAAGTTCAGATACCACATCTGCCCAACTTTCAAGCCAAGAAGTTCTCCACGATAACATGGACTCCTTCTACAAGGCCCAGGACATCGGATGAGAACTATAAGATCATCAGCGATGTAAAGAACAAGATTTACAAGATGGATGATCGCAAGTTGGCTCATATAGAAACCATGACGCAGACGTATGTTCTTTAAGGTTAAATAGATCTAGGGCGATCAATGAGACTCTTATTACTAGATTCGGGATTCCACGACGGAAGATGATAGAATGATTTATTCTGCCTTACTTATGCAAAAGAAAGATCAGCAGTTTTAACGGATCATCTTACATCTGTTTCAGCAGCACTGACCTTAGCTCGTCGTCAAGGCCTCCTCGCCTCTGTAATTGGGGAGAACTTTACAGCCCCACTTTATACAGCCCCGTGGTCGACAACATCCATCTTTGACGGAGAAATCGACAAGGTCGCCAAAGGAAGTCTCTAAGATTCCAGGGAAGTCCTTATGATTAGATCGATGGACACACTAGCCAGCGCCATTCGGTCAGACTTCACAAAGATACTCAGGCAGATCTAAGTTCACGGGCCTACAAAGAGCAAGAGACAGGAAGATAGCCAGCTCTAGAGGTAAAGATTCTTTTCGTCGCCCATATGGCAACCATAGAGGAGGATCAGGAAGAGGCAGGACACCCAGAGGTTCTCGCATTATAGACGCTGAACACAGGTTCGAACGACTGGAGTCTTCCACCCCAGCCGTTCCAGTACAACCAGCTCAAGTGGGTGGACGCCTCCAACTACACTGGGAAAACTGGGGAATACTGCAAGATCCTTACGCCTCCAACATTATTCAACACGGATTTCAGATCCCTCTACAGGCCAAGCCTCCGCTGACAATCAAACCCCCAAGTTCGACATTTACAAAGCGCAACAACTACCAAAGATAAAGAGGCTGTTTCATCACTCCTATCCAAGCAGGCCATAGAAGTAATAGATCAAGCAAACGTCGAACCAGGTTTCTACTCCCCAGTTTTCCTAGTTCCCAAGAAAACTCCACGGAGAAATACAGACTCATCTACAACATGAGCTTTTTCAACAAGAACTATCTACGCAGAAACCACCGGAAGTTTCTCAAGATGATACATTTAACCTCAGTTACGCCAGATGATTCGTCCTATGGACTACATATGGGCAGCATAGATCTACAGGATGCCTACTTGCACATCCCCATTCATCCCATTCCAGGAAATACCTACGATTTACTCTAGAAGGGCTACATTACCAGTGGAAAGTACTCCCATTCGAATATCATCAGCCCCTGGCTATTCACCGAGATAACGAAAACCGATTATCAAATTTCTACATCGGCCAAGGGCCACGCAGCGCTTTTACCGACGACGGGATACAAGTAGATCAAGATCCACTGCGTCTCAAACTACAGTTAAATTACATCATAAAGCTACTAACACAACTAGGTTGGTTAGTAAACTTCGCAAAGTCGGACCTAGTACCATCGCAAGACCTACAGTTCCTAGGTATTCGATTCATCACAAATCGCGAACCGTATTATGGTACCAGAAGACCGCTATTCAAGATACAACAGACCATTCCACCAGCTCTACTCTCTCCGTTACCACTGCGTCAATGGCAGAGCCTACTAGGTCTTCTCACATCAGCCCAAGACATGACTGTCACAGGCAGATTACAGTTACGTCCCCTACAGGTCCTCATCAACGCACATCTCAACGATGTACAACCATTCAGTCTACGAGAAACATCTCAGACCACATCTACTATGGTGGACCAAGAAATCGAATGTCTGCGAAGGGATTTGTTTAGCAGAGCAGGAATACAAAACCCATCTGTATGTAGATCGCCAGTTACCCAAGGTTGGGGAGCTCATCTCACCAACCACACGATATCAGGGTTATGGAATCAGCAAGAATGCAAACTCCATATAAACAGTCTAGAAATGAAAGCTGTAATCAACGCCATTCTACATTGGAGCACATTTCTACAAAATGCGCCTAATGATCCATACAGACAATTCGACAGTGGCGTTCTACATAAACAAGCAAGGCTCAACGATCGATGAACCTTTTGAACCTAAGCTTTCAACTGTTCGGATTTAATACAAGATCTAAATCTACATGTCAGAGCAGTGCACATTCCCGAGCCAGAAATATACTAGCAGACGCTCTCTCGGGCCTCATCTACCATCACCGACAGAGTGGATGATCAACAGGGAAATTTTGCACAGATAATCAAGCAATTAGGAGCGCCGCTAATAGACCTATTCGCCACGCGATTCAACAATCAGCTACCGACATTCGTGTCACCAGTCCCAGACCCCCAAGCTTGGGCAACGGACGCTTCTCTAAGTCTATCATGGGAAGGCCTCCTCAATGCGTACGCGTTTCCGCCGCCAGCAATAATACCTCAAGTATTACAGAAAATCAGACAAACACAGAGCCTACAACTCACTTTGGTCGCTACTCTACTGGCCGGGCCAGAACGTGGTTTCCCATACTAATTCAAGAAATCGGTCAACCAACACTGGAGCTACCTAAGCGCGCCAAACCTGTTAATTCATCCTCACACCA